ACACACCACCACCAGACTCCCGGATCTACCAAGAAGCTGGCCCCGGCTCCAAATCTAAACGCGAAGAGAAGAAGGACGGCAAGAAGGGTGACAAGAAGGGTGACAAGAAAGAAGACAAAGATAAGAAACCAGAACCGCCTAACTGGGATAAGCTCGCCGAGAAACACCCCGACGCGGCGGACAGCTCTGAGCGCTGCCAGAATGTCTGCCAGCAAGTTGAGGACTGTTTACAATGGCGGTACACGACCAAAGGAGATGGAGAATGTCATCTCAGCAAGGTGGTTAGGTTGGGTGGGAAGGTTGGTGATGACCAGTGGACGAGTGGGTGGTTAGTCGACAGGATCCAGGGGCTCACTAAGGAGTGGGCGTGTAAGGAGGTTAAATGGAGGTTTTATCAGTGAGTAGGGTTGAGCGTTGAAGTGGTTAGATATGGGTAAAAGGATGGTGTTCTGGTGTTTGTATGTTCGTGTTGTGGCATTGAGAAGAAGGCTTTCTGTATAGTGTTAAGCTGACGAGGCTGCTATAAGTGGTGGAAATTGTTGTATATACCCTTTTTTATTGTAATGTACATGTTGATGGTACAGGACATGTAATATTGATGTGCTGGCCCTGTTTCATCATACCTTCCTACACTGTCCATTGTGCTCGTCGTCATTGATGCGCTTGCGAATCAGTCGAGAAGAGGCATACGCGAGAAGTCGGTTCGGTCTTCTAGAACTACGGCTCTGGTCTCTCGCTACCGTCTTACTCACGAGTGGGTCTTCTCTAAACACTTGATTCACTACGTATCACTCGTAGCACACAACAAGATTCTCTTTCCTCTTTTCATAGAACACGAGTCACAACGCGTGCTTTCACTTTTGTCGAAAGACCTCTACCCATTTACAAAACTATTTGTAATATCCACATTGCACTCACAGTCTTAAGTTATCTGAAAAGTTACAACTCACCCATTTTAATACCTTATTATCTACGCATTCAAATTTAGTCTGATCGGAACTGGCGGGAAGATGCCACTGGCTCGTCTCTTCAATCGATCGCTCAGGCGATGCTTCCAAGGACGGCTTCCTCCTCCTGAAGGCCCAATACTCCTTGCGATGGCATGTTGCTTGGGGCAATTCAATTTGGATATGACCTGTGTAAAGAAGAAAATAGGCAAGGGCGAGGCTTTGTTGAAGAAAGTATAGATGGACTGTTAGGCAAGAGTCCGCATAGAGTCACATTTCCAAGCCTAAGCAAAATCGGTACGGCGTTCAACCAATCACAACTTCGAAGTTGTATTTATGGCGTATCTACACTGATTCATGCACCCCATTATTGGCACCTTCCCACGCTTGACCTGGAATGGTAGGCGCTATACGCCTTCTTGGCTACTTTCCATTTGCCGGTGGCTCGTACGACAACAAGTCCTTCTATGTACGCCTTGCATTGCCTCCAACAACAGAAGAAGTTAGAAATCCATAGCCATCATCTACGTCCCGTCTATGTTCTGAGCGCCCACCTCCCACAAACCATGGAGCCTGACGCTATCTCCCAAATTAAAGCGCTACTAAGCGCAGCCCCAAATCTTCGCTCTCAACTCAGCAACGCCGAACGTCTCCAGCTCAGCGGGTTAGCTGAAGCACTCAGAAATGAATTGGAAAGACCAGATGAAGCCGTATTCAGGGTTACCTTCAATGACGTAAGTTGATGCGTCGTGCAGCTTCTTCCAGATTCGCGGGGTTGTATCGTCCATGACTCGTGACTAGCACTAATAGTTAAGGTAACCAGCCTGGACATTATCTGGCTATACGATTAGGCATACAATGGGGAATCTTTGAAGCACTGGGCTGCCATGGTGATGAGGGCAAGTCGAGTGTGCAGCTTGCGGAGGGTACTGGGGCGGATGTGCGATTAGTTGGTAAGTAAGCGTTCATCGCGAACATGTTGGGAAGTTCTCCAATTTTGTCTTATCATTACTCTAAGGTGATACTGATCATATCATTCCAGCTCGCTTTCTGCGTCATCTAGCAGCGAATGGCACAATCCGTGAAGTCGGACTCGATACCTACGCAAGCACTCGACTCTCAGCATCTTTGAGGCAAAAGTCTTTCAAAGATGCTATACATTTCATGCAAGTCCTTGGATAGGACCCAGATATGCAAAACTAGTATTGATAAGCCTTAATACTGATACCGCACCTGCAAAAGGTATGACGACTTCTACAACGTGGGCTGGAAAGTACCTTCATTCCTTGACTCGATATCTCATCGCAATCCCGCCGATATCAACAACGGCCCCTTCCAACATGCACATGGTTTCTCTGATAAATCACTGTACACATACTTTGATGAAGACCCAGCGATGGGAGCGCGGTTCGGCGGTATGATCCAGATGTACAATGCTGGTAAGCCGTTCTTTTGGGAGAACGGTTATTACCCTTTCGATGAACGCTTGGTTACCGGAGGTCCTCAATCTGATGACGATGTGCTACTTGTGGACATTGGAGGCGGGGATGCCGGAGATTTAGGCCTGTTGCGGAAAGCACTGGGAAAAGAAGTAAAGGGTCGGCTTGTTCTGCAAGAGTTGAAACATATCGTTGATCGGACCGTGGAAGACGGGTTTGAAGCGGAGGTAGGCGATTGGAACCAAGTTCAGCCGATTAAAGGTACACTACCAGAATTATATCGTGCTGTTACCAATACTAAGATGTGACTTGTAGGAGCGAGAGCGTATATGCTTCAACACATCCTCCACGACTTTAGCAGCGACGATGCATGCCGTCGCATACTTCGCAACATCATTCCCGCTATGGAGCCCGGTTACTCTAAGCTCCTCATCAAAGACCTTCTCATACCCGATCGAAATGCACCATGGGCATTCACGGCTTTGGATGTCAATGTTATGCAATCACTTTCTGGTCAAGAGCGGACTGAGTCACAATTTCGCGAGCTACTTGATTCTGTGGGACTGAAAATTGAGGGCATCTGGGGTCACAAGAATGCGCTGGATGTTGTCATCGAAGCCTGCCTGCCCTAGGAGGAGAGTCTTACGCTGTTTACAGGACTTCCCATTCGTGATGACATGATTCCTCACTTGGTATAACATACTTCTCCCACCCCTCCTTCGTATCTGCCTCCTTCCACGTTTCCATATCACCCACTACACCATTCTCATCTACCTTCCAAATACCCCCTTCCACCATGCCCAGCCAGTTCTGAAGTACACACGCTAGACTCTGCGATTGGAAATATTCAAGAGACTGTCTCCCACGCGAGTATAATTGTGTAAAGCTGTCGTTCCCATGCTGTCTGCAGTCCATAAATTTCTGCCCATCACTACTCCTCGCGTACTGATTTCCCCCGATAGCAAAAGGCAGCACGAATGAGATCTGGTCTTCTAGGCTTTGGTGGCCGTATTCAGTAGGCAACAGATACAAGCCAGAAGGGTAGATTCTAACATCGCGATAGTCGAAAAAGTGTGGCATCCGAGCGTCAAGATCTCGCGGGTTCCAGGTTGGATTTTCGAAGAAGTTGAGTTCAGATCGAAAGAGTAGGATGGGTGGTATTTCATCTTTGTCTTTAGACATGTGCGAGCGAAAAGGTTGGTCGGGAAAGTCTGATGAGGTGATGACGCGGAGACCTGGGGCTATTTTCTTGAAACGCGGGCGGCGGGCACGAAAGAGGAAGTTGTATGCAAATCGTTGCGGTAGGCTTATAGTTTTGCGCACGTTGTTTTCGAGGATGCCGCATATGGGCTGCGCGGAGATGCTTTCCATAGGCATGTGACTCTCTATCGCCTCAACGAGCTTGTCCCAGATCTCCAGGTTTCTTTTCATCATAACCTCGTTGTACGGAACGAAGACCCAATTCGAGGGATCCCGGTTTTCCCTTAGAGCAGGCCATTCTTCCCTGAGCTTGCCTCCTCTTTCTGGTGTGGCCTGAATACTTCCTTGGCGAATCTGGGAGAGCCAGAAGCTAAGGACGGTCTCTAGCGGATACCATTTCCGTTCATCCATACCGTCCATGTCATACAGTGTTAGAGCCAATATGCACAAATTTGTTTTCTGGTCGTATCTAAATCTCGTAAGCTCGGCGTTCTGATATACTACCGACAGCATCAAGTTCACTTACATCAGTCCACAAGTATGTCCTGTCCCAAAGTGCCCCGCCTGGTACAAAACCAAACGCCTTCTTCTAATGTCCTTTTGCTTCTCACCTGTACGGGATCCGTAGTCCCATGGCCACAGCAAGTCCTCGAATTCGAACATATAACTTGGTCCAGAGAGACCAGATACCCAGTGAAAGAATGATAGACATGTTTCACTCTCTTGTGCATATGGATCTTGGGCTTGCTCGAGGAATTGGATGAGCTCGGCTGAGAGATCAGACCGTGCGGCTTCGGCCTTTTCCCCATGTAACTGAAACCAGCTTTTGGATTGTGAGGTTAGTGTTTCTGGAGAGCGGCCTGAGCCGACCCAGCCATGCTGCACGATTTCGTTGTGGAGCTCGATGCAACGTTCGACGTTCATGGCTGATGAGTATCTACTATCATAAAGAGCAAGAATAAAGTATCAAGGATGGATAGTACCGGATTTCTGGGTAAGCAAGAGACTATGTGGCTTGAGTTAAGTACGACACTGCGCCGCAAGGCTACAGTGCATGGACGCAAACCTAGTCTGAAAGGGGACTAATAGCCAAGACGGTCGACTTGGAAGTAAGGCCCAGGGGAAAGTAGCAATGATACGGAAAGACTCGAAGAAACGCACTGTGTACCACCAAACCAGTAAGTGGAAATGATACCCATGGCCTCTGGTAGTGTTCCAGTGCTCAAATAATTTCAGAAGGTACTTTTGCTTTGAGTTTCTCTCGAAGAGAGCATAGTTCGATAGTAAGACCAGTCCAGGAGTTACTCATCTCTTTTGCTCTCTAAGCACTCATATCTGCAGACCCTCTCTTACATGAATTCATCATGGTCAGTTGCTCCGCGATAGTCATCGTGTAGTTGACGTCTCTCGTGCTCTAGGGTAGTTCGCCGCAGAAATAATCTTTCGCCACCAAAGCCTTTTCACGTCGTTGATCAAGTGACAGTAAAGATTCCTTGAAGAACCTGTCCCGAAAAGTGTCCAATCTGGTAATCCTAGAGATCCAGAGTTGCAGGTCTTCCTGATCGACTACAGACGCGTCACCCCAGTTCCGAACGACCAAGTGCTCCATTGCGGTGTCCAGGTTGCTGGTCATATCTGATATTACGAAGACGTGATCATACAAGGCCGGCGTAAGCTGTGGCTTCTCGGATGGACGGGTGAGAGCGGCGAAGAGGCGCGCCATAGCATAGTTCTGGAATTCGGCCACTTTCAGATCGTCTCCTAGAAGCCAAGCCAGTATTGCAGCCTTGACTGCCCAGTCCATAGTCTTGGGTTTTTGGCGATTGACATCCATCTTCAGATCCTGGACACCGTTGGCGATGTCTAGCGGGACGACCGAGCCAGATAGTTCGGTGTACTCTCCCGTGTAAACCCACTGTACAAACAAGTCAAGCACATCAAGACAGTGCATCCCAAGAAGCCAGATCTCTGGTACAGGTTTGCCTTCGCCTGGGAATGTCGGCAAATTTCGATTGGAGATTGATCGCAGTAACTCATAGGGTATATAGCAAAAACCGGGACTGCAGTTATGAGGAGCCAGACGCACCTTGAACGCGCGAAGATCGCCGGCGCTGTGATAAGTGGTCAGTAAGTGCTTAGGGAGGATCAACGGCGCCACTGACAAAGCAACCAGATGTACTCTCTTTGAAAAACGATCTAGCGCAGGCGGCTCATCTGCTGGAGCAGACATTTCACGGTGAGTCCTCTTGCTTTTCAAGCGCATATTCGACCCGGAGGTTGGATCGATCGTAGTTGTGGAGAGCGATGATATATAGGAATTTTTCTGAGGATGAGAGGCTTTAAAATATTGGAGCACGCGGAGTCTTCTCACTCATTCGTTGGTAGAGATGTGCTTTGGCTCGCCTTGTGAGCGCGGTAAGCTCACCTCTCACCTCCTACCTTCACTTACGCGAGCGCCAAAGAGCGTCTGCTCAGGTCTTAACCTGCAAGCAGAATTCGCATCCTGGGTTCTGCGCACTTGTCGTCATTACAACTAGCGGTCGACGCCTGGCAGCCAAGGCGCACTTGATATTTGAGGAAGCATTCGTTCGAGCATCCAAAGCCAATTGAAGGTGTGATTAGATACCTAGTGTAATCTCTTCACTGGTCGTTAGAGACTGCTGTGTCATCTCTCCTAGGGAAAAAAATTCCAGATATTGTGCGAGATTTACGCTATCGTGATAGTGGCTCTTGGTTTGCGCATACGCAAGAAGGCGGCAGAAAAGCTACTCATGAATGCGCGCTGATTGCGTTGTAGAGGCGTCGCGAGGCAGAACGGTCAGGTCGCGCATCCGCCCCAAAACGCGCCAAGACCCCAGCACATGACCGCGCGCACCCTCCTACCCCATCCAAACTCACACGAATACAAACCTCATTTCCTCATCCCGAAATCAATTCTTACAAAAACAAGCTTCTCTCAACAGTCGCATCACCGTCGTAATCAATCAATCCAGCTATCGTTTCAAGCCCAGCCTCACCGCCGAAAGAGTCGGTATCCCAGCCACGCCAGCCTGTCCAGCCCCTCCCACCATGGACGCGACCCAACCACCTTGCTGGCGCACGCACCCCGCCACGTCTGTACAAAAGTTGCCGCATGCCACTTGCAGTAGACCCTACTACTTGGCCTGCAGATTTCTTCGCTGATATTACTAAATCAATTATCCCTCAACTCACTCGTCAAACTCAACACTTTACCATACGATTCTTCGTTGTTGTCGTTGTTGTTGTTCCAGTTTACCACCACCATCCTTGACATTGGCTTGCTTCCGGGATATCACTTACGACACCACTACTAAAGGGTTGCTTGGACGATAGCTAAGCTTGGTCCGACCGACACCACTGCGTTATACAACATTCACCTGTTTGCGCTGAAGACACAGTGCGCATACAATTGTTCATCCTCAACTCTTGACATTTGACTGACTTTTGAAACAGAAACATCTTGAGCACTATCGCATAGCATCACACCGCCGCAACTACTCTTCACCAACCACTACTCCGACTACCATCTACGAGACCCCCTCGTAGCCACCACAACAAACCGCAATCATGCAGCGCAACATTGTCATCTTTCTCATTATCCTTATCCTTTTCATCCTCATCGCTGCTATCGCCTACCTGATCTACTACCTGCAAACCCGCATGGCCGTCGGCGGAACCGCATCGTCTGTCTCTGACATGACAGAGAACGCGTAGACGACACCACTACAACAAAACACCATGATACAACAGGAAGATTAAGAAAAGAGACATTTAACGACGATACGAAGATAGTACAACATATGGGTCGATCTCAGATTTGGAGATTGAACACTGCATGGCATTGGCGTTCTTGGAACTGCATGGATATGCAACCTACAACAGGAGTTTGGGATTCATTGGGCAAGAAAAGTGATAAAACACTTGAGAAGTTGAAACGAGGATAATGCAACTGAAGCAGCCATGTTGGTTGGGACTGGGCTTTTGGATACCCGCAACGTTATTACGTTACTTATATATGTATATATGTTCGCGCATGCATGGAATTGAACGACATAACTATTGAACACACTTTCAACTATGTTCCGCAATGTGACTTTGATTATAGGCCTGTTGTTTAGTCTGTGGACCTGGGAACAGAATCGTATTTCGTCTTAGCTAAGGAGAAGTATACTCGAATGTCCTGTATTATTTCAAAAGTGTTGTTAACATTCTAATCTTATTTGGAGACAAGCATATCAAGTATCCACAAATGGCACGATGCGCCCGCAACAACATTCTCACGAACAGGGATATATCGTCTGTCACACACTAAGTGGTCACACTTAGTGTCTTATGTATAGTTTTGTGACCTCTGATGGTAATGGATAGAAAGCAAAAAGTTCGAATCGCTTCGAAGAACCATTGGAACTCCTTGTTGTCCTTTCCAAAAGAACTCGAACCTAACCAAAGAAGTCCCTTATGGTACAGTTAACGCCTATACACCATACTCGCTTAAATGGAATCAAAGTCTTCGTGAGAGACTCTAGACGCACTGGTGAAACTTTGTGGGGCGGAGGTGTAACGGACAAAGATGAGGATCCTCCGCTTGTGGTATCAACGGAGACGCGGTGGGCAATTTGAGCAACGTCAGCTTTACGACGGGTGAGTCTTCAGGTAATTGAAGACGAGAAATGCTCCGGAGGCGTCAACGGAGACACCGTGGGTGATTTAAAACACAGCGGAGACAGCGAAAAGGGAGGCGTTACTGGAGAGAATAGTCGTAGCGGGAGCATGTTCTCGATTGACATGGCGGGCGCGAAGTCCGTTCGAACTTTGCTGGTAAGCACCATTTTTGATGGCGAATTCGGTTGCGTATACTATTCGACTTGAAGTGAATTAGTGGCCTGTCATTACGGCGTCGTTATTGTCATCACCATTTTCGCATTTTAGAGGCTGGTCGCTGGTTTCGGAAAAGACTAGGTGACTCTCATAGTATGCCAGCATCTGCAACGCATTAATAGCAGTACAATTTCGATAGTCATGGCAACGCACCTTTTGCGGACACTTTTGGTAGACGTGTTTGAGAGGATGTTGTGTCTTTTGATTATTGTTCCACACGAGGTATGCGAACTTTTCGAGTTCGCCTGTCTTGGGGTTCTTCGTCTGCTCCACTGTGTCGATCTCGTGGACGTCGTGTTCCCACGAGCCTGGTGGTGGACTCCATTGTGCCACTTTCTTCTCCTCCTTGTCTGCCTTCGCGCGCTTGGTGCTAGACGCAAGAGTCTCCGACTCTGATTTCCTTCCCGCAAGCGACGGTCGGCCCTTGCGCTTTTGGCCCTTGGGCTCTGGACGGCCTCCGATACTCTTGAAGTACTCGTTCAGTACGTCGATGGCTCCCTCCATGTTTTCCTCTGACTCCCATGTCCGGTCTTTGGGGTCGTCGTAGCCTTCCCATTTGACGTCGAATTGGAGAACGCCCTACCACTGTCAGTGTTTGCGTGTGGTGAGGTAGGTGTTTGTACACACTCTTTGGAATCTGTGGTTGAAGATGGCTTCAACGACATATCTGGCGCATTGTTAATGCGGTGTGATCCCTGGGTATATGAATATGCGTATACTCGTCTTCTCCCACCTCACTGTCATCCTCCTCATCTTCTACAGGATCGACTTGTACTGGTTGTCTTCCTTTTCCCTTTGTGGTCGCTTGCGCGGGGACTTCTTCGCTGTCCGAGGACTCGTGATCGCTGAGAGCAGCTATGTAAGTTAGCTACCGTATGCTAAGTACATTACGCGTAGGGTGAAAGCGCGAGAAGGCGGGCGCGACTCACGAGGCATCTTGAATCGCGGTCGCTAATGATGGCGCACAGAGATGTGGGATGGGCTGAGCTTTTTAGAGCATGAGGCGATTCGGATAAGCGCAATTGTTTGTGCGCGATACGTGACCAGTGATTGTGGTGGCAGCTTGGGGCAGCAAGCGTCAGGGCAATTCGCAGGGTTGGAGCTGGCGACGGAAGGCGCGTTCGCGACTCGCGGCCGTGCACAGGAATGCCAAGCCCCTCTGGGGAAATTTCGAGACTGACATGGCAGCTGTTTGGATATACCCCACCACCCCTCACTACTAAACATACCCAGGATTCCCTCCTAGTGTGTATCTGTAGTTTGAAGAGTCTCCGGAATCGTGTGTTTGCTTCTTCAGCGGGCATTTCTCCAACCATGGCGATGCGTAAGTTATACAGGCTGCAACAGCTTCATTATCTCCGAAACTTCACAAAGATGAAGAGAATGCTAACTTGTTAAATTGCAGAGGTCGACCTTTCCAACGGTATGCTTCCGAATCTACCACGAAATTATTACGAATCATCCACGAATGACGACTGACAAATCGGCTTGTAGCGCAGGTGATGAAGGATGAAGCGGGCAGGCCGTTTATCATTGTCAGAGAGTATGTGGGCTGCTGAGAATAGGCTTTGAGATTCCGTCCGAGAAATCAGCAGCTAATTCCGGGACAGTCAAGGCAAGAAGTCGAGGCAACACGGCAACGATGCGGTCAAGTCCCACATTCTGGCGGCCAAGACCGTCGCGAACCTTGTCAAGAGCTCTCTGGTATGCAGAATTGTTGGACTCGAGAAAGTTAGAGCACTGGCTCACAACATCTAGGGACCGCGAGGACTGGACAAGATCTTGATTTCGCCCGATGGAGATATTACGGTCACAAACGACGGCGCTACCATTCTATCCCAGATGGAAATTTCCAACCACGTCGCGAAGCTGCTAGTCGAACTATCCAAATCACAAGACGACGAGATTGGCGACGGAACCACTGGTGTCGTAGTTTTGGCGGGCGCACTCCTCGAACAGGCAGCGGACCTCATCGACAAGGGTATCCACCCCATCAGGATAGCAGACGGTTACGACCAGGCTTGCGAGGTTGCTGTGGCCAAGCTGGACGAGGTCAGCGACGAGATCAACTTCTCCAAGGACAACACGGAAGAGCTGTTCAGGGTTGCAAAGACAAGTTTGGGCAGCAAGATCGTCTCCAAGGCGCACGACCAGTTTGCCAACATCGCCGTAGATGCTGTGCTTTCGGTCGCCGATCTGGAGCGGAAAGATGTCGATTTCGAACTCATCAAGGTTGATGGCAAGGTCGGTGGATCGCTCGAGGACACATTACTTGTCAAGGGTGTCATAATAGACAAGGACTTTTCCCATCCGCAGATGCCGTCAGAGGTCAAGGACGCCAAACTCGCCATCCTCACATGCGCATTCGAGCCACCGAAGCCCAAGACCAAGCACAAGTTGGACATTACCAGCGTGGAGGAGTTCAAGAAGCTACAAAACTACGAGTCAAACAAGTTCACTGAGATGATTGAGCAGATCAAGGAGACTGGCGCCAATGTAGTAATATGCCAATGGGGTTTTGACGACGAGGCCAACCACCTTCTTCTCACAAACAAGCTGCCCGCTGTACGGTGGGTAGGAGGCCCAGAGATTGAGCTGATCGCCATTGCGACCAACGGACGCATCGTACCGCGTTTCGAAGACCTCAGCGCGGAGAAACTGGGAAGCGCAGGCATCGTTCGGGAACTGACGTTCGGAACTACACGAGACAAGATGCTGGTCATCGAGGAGTGTGCGAATACACGAGCTGTCACAGTCTTTGTTCGAGGCAGCAACAAGATGATCATCGACGAGGCCAAGCGATCGCTACACGATGCCCTCTGTGTCGTCCGAAACTTGGTGAGAGACAACCGTATCGTATACGGCGGAGGTGCCGCGGAAGTAGCTTGCTCGCTCGCAGTCGAAGATGCGGCAGTCAAGGTAAGCACTATCGAACGCGAATGCGGGACGGCGACTTACATTTTACAGAGCCCCGGTATTGAGCAATACGCGATGCGCGCCTTTGCTGATGCCCTTGACGCAGTACCCATGGCCCTGGCTGAGAACTCCGGTCTCAGCCCCATCGAAACCCTCGCTAACATCAAGTCCCGACAAGCCAAGGAGAAGAACTTCAGGTTGGGCGTCGACTGCATGCAGACGGGAAGTAACGGTAAGTGCCCTTCTCGTTCGTTGTTATCCAACAATCTTCCCCACGTCTCTTTGTATCATTCCCACTTGCCTCACCGCTATCAAGCATAGCTGCATTACGGACTATTCCCGGGAGACCCGAGACCCGTGTTGCATACAACTTGCCGCATCCAACGCCCCCGTGGGGTGGGGTGTGTCCCCCCACGCGGCGCTACTTGCTGCGCTGGCACGAACGCAACTACAAGTGGAGATGAGCAGGAGTCATCTGAGACCTTCGCTATGCTGTCATTGTTATGCGCAACGTCATGGGCCACATTGGTGGCTGATTTATCGAAGATCGTGCTAACGTGGCGTTATTCGCAGACATGAAGGAACACTTTGTGATCGATCCCTTGATCTCGAAGAGGCAACAACTGTTGCTCGCTACACAGCTGTGCCGTATGGTACTCAAGGTATGTACCGTAACTTTCCCCCTTGTTTCGTAACATATCGTCGCTTGTTGCACCGCACGCTACTTGGTGTTACTCCCTTTCCCGCCATCCCTTCCGCATTTCCCTCCCGTTTGTGCTACCTCGCTCGACTTCCTCCCTTGCATTCTTTCTCTGGATCGAAGGCACGGACGGGGAAGCGAGGAGGCGAGACCAAAGAAACACGGGTCTTTGTGTGCGGGTTTGCATTGTTCGTTACACACCATCACTTTGTGTTACGCCGATTATCTTGACCGCCTGTATTGCTTGCGAGTAAAGCTAATAACGCCGCACAGATCAACAATGTGATCATCGCTGGAAACGACGACCAGGATTTCTAGACGCCATCACGCCGTACCTGTCATACCGATTGGTATGTGCCTGAGCGATGGGCGCAAGTAGCAAACGAAGCGCAAGGGCATGTTGGATGGCAACGTAAAGAAACCATGTCTAAGGCGTTAATACCCATAGACTATCCAAAGTAAAATCAATACAAGCATCCCGATGCCATGATGTGCCTTGAATAGCATAGAGTCCTGTTGAGAACATGTCACCGCGGTATAAGAAAGCCATCACCACATGTTTGCAGCGGAATGCTCCTTCGTGACACGAAATGAATCCTTCGTTCCTACGATCAGAAGGGTTTCCGTAGGCAAATCGCAGATTCTTCTTCCCACGATGCGAACACATTCCACATATATGCATCTGCATATCCGTTTGTATGTTAAACATATCCTCCAATCGCCATTTAACAATGCGTCGTTCAGTACTCGACGGAATTGCTCAAATCAGCGTCCACTCCTGCACTCTTTTGCATCAGAATGCTGTCATTTGTCAACTCTGCGTTCAACTTCCAGATTGCCTGCCACAGTGTGGCCATTCACAAACTCAGCTAAATATTGAAGTCGATTTTGGGCTCAGCGAGCAATAGGAAGACGAATTGTAGTAGCCCATCCATGTTTGTCATGACCTAGCCTTCAGCTTATCCAAGACTTGAGAATATTCTACTCCACAGCAACAACAATGCAGACTGGCGAACCTTCCTCTCAGATCCAAGAGATCGTTTTTGTCAAACACATGAAATCTGTGAACAGAAACGAGACATCGGACACAGTGTGTTGACTTCCCCAACAACTGACAGCGTTTTTCTTTTGCAGATACATCTAGACACCGTCACGTTCATGCTTTATCAGACAGGATTACGCCAAGAACAGTGGTTGACTTCAACGAAGTTACCGCTAAACTTGAGGCAGGTTTTCCATTGAGATTTTTGTACGTTTCAAACTTTCTCTTTACTTCAAAAAACAGTCATGTTGTCTCAAGAGGTCGGTTACGACTATACCGCACTATCTCATCGCTCATGCTCGCTTCGAATCTTAGCGACCCGGTAAATCTCCTCAGTAGCGCAAACTCTCTCACAGTGAGGAGCAAGCGGTGGTTGTTTCTTGCGGTAATATCCGTCATGCATGTAAGAACACGAGAGGAGGGCTGAGCTAGCTGCTGCAGGGGGCGTTGACTAATAGGTTGTGTTGGTGTTGTTGAGACGATAGAAGGCTCGGGATGTGGAGGGAGATCTTGGCCTCAGCTGAAGGACGGGTGAGAGTGTTGTTGGCAATATTGGCGGGTAGGTAGTGGATGATACTGTGCCATGTTCTGCTTCCGCGTAGGAAGAATGTAGATCCCGTGTCCATCACATGTTGTCTCGTCGTAGGTTGCGAAGTTAGCTTCACCACCCACCACTTATGCTCGAAGACCAGGTGATGTCTCAAGCACTTGAAACAAACCACAATTTCAAACTTTTCTGTTTTCAGAACGATTGCTTCTCTCTTTCTCTGAAACCACGTCATTTTTCTTGATTCAGCCTATAACAAACCGCGACTATGCCTGTGCTTAGCTGCATGGAGAATATGCTGTACGTATATTTACGCGATCGCCCTGGGATTCAGGCACGCGCCCAAGTCCCATAAACACCCAGGATCTGGGTCTAATCTACCCCTACACGAAGGATCGAGGATCGATGTTAACGCAAAGCCGCGTACCGGAAGCGCGTGACGAGAATATCCCTGGACAAGGGGTATTGTATCGATATTGAAAACGCGCATGAACATAACGATAGCAACATAGGTGATATAGCTATGCGCACCAACGTTAAGGCAAACGTAACATACAAGGGCCGAATATGCGCAACCACGGCACAGAAACGAAGCAAGAATAATGGTGGTTATGATGGTGTTCCACGTGAGAATATTTGGAAACGTGGCCACGGACATATGGAGAGTTAACTGTGGCAGGTGACAGATTTTACCTGACTGCGCCCGAGATGTCAGCCTGTTCGAGAGGCTG